GGGGGGGGGGGGGGGGCAGCGCATGTCGGGTTGCGCGGCACGCCGGGGATCGCGCCTGGTGGCGCCAGACCGCAGGCCAGACAGAATCGGATGTGCGGTGCAGGGGCCGCGGTCGAATCAAAATCAAACTGTGGGGTCATAACCGCCCTGCAACGGAAAACGGGCGTTTGGTCGAAACAAGTGTTCAGGGGGGGCTGCCGGCAGGGCGCGCAGAGAGGCGCGCCGCAATGCCAGCGCAGCGCGGGCATGAGCGTTGAGCAGTGCGCGTTCCCGCGTGTGCGGTCGACTATCAACAAAAAGGAGCGATCACGAAAAGGAAGCTGGGGGGAAGCTGGGTCCTGGAGGTCAAGCAGCCCGAGTCGGTGAGTCAAGCCGGCACGCCGGCGTAGGAGGTGCCCACACACAAAAAGCGCGTGGGCTGTCAAGGAGTCATGCAGGGGGGAGGCATGCAGCCCAGGAGTGCCCCGGACCAACAGGCGGCGGCGGCAACGGGAGGCAGTGCGCACGGGAGGAGGGACGGGCCGAGCGGGGAGAGGGGGAGCGGGAAACAGGGGCGTGCGGTGCGGGCGGTGCCATTCACGGGGCGAGTGCGCGCGCGTGTGAGAGATGGGGGAGGAGGGGGGCGCGTCACTGTGCCACCTGCTGCATGCCGGCGAGGTTCTTCAGCATATCCGCCAGCCCCGTCTTGGCCAGGCCAGCCGTGCTCGCAAACTGCTGCTGCTGCTGCTCGAGCTGCTGCTGCTGCTGCTGCTGCTGCTGCTGCTGCTGCTGCTGCTCCGCCACATCGTCCTCGTCCCCCTGGCCGCGCCGCGCGCGCTTCCCGCCCTTCCCGCCCATGCCGCCGCCGCCGCGCGTGCGCTTGCCGCCGGTGCCCGGCGGGTCGCAGGCCGACGCGCCCGCCTCGGACATGGCGGCCGCGGCGGCGGCGGCGGTTGTGGTGGTGTTGGGTGCCTCAATGGGCAGGTCCCCCAGGTCGAGGCTGGGCAGGTCCCCGGCGCGCAGGCTGCCGAGAGCCTGGAACAGCGCCTGCGTGCCAAAGGGCGGGATCAAACACGGCAAGGTTGAGAGATCAGCGATGGGTCCGCAGCTAATTTTTTTCCCGATTCTCGGCACCGCAGCACGCCCGACCAGGCGCAGCTCGCGCACGCTGCAGCGGGCGAAGGCAGCGGCTGCAGATTTTGGGGGGCGGGGGCTCACCAGGCTGGTCGCGCGCGGCACGAGTGCCGATGGCCCCCCCAGCAGGTCTCTCAGCGCGGCGTCGCCCTGCAGGTCCTCCTCGCCCGCCGCCAGGCTGGTGGCCGTCTCCAGGGCAGACTCCAGGTTGGGCTGTTTTTTTTGGGGGGGGGGGGGGTTGGGGTGGTAGGTGCGGTGTGACAGAGTGTGTTGGGTGCGTGGCGTGTGTGTTGTGCGATGTGTGTGAGTCGTGCGTGCTAGCGCGTGTGTGCGTGCGCACGTGCAGTCTGCGCAAAGATCAGGAAAAGCACAACCGCCAGGCACTGACAGGCAAGAGCAGCGCGACAGCAGGTGGCTGCCGAAACCCCAGCCCCCGCTGCGGACTGATGCTGCACGGCAGTCCGCGCAGCAGTCCGCGCACCTTGGTGCCGTGGTCCACCAGCCGCGCGCCGTCCCACAGCGCTGCGCCGTACGCCAGGCCGCCGCCCGCCGCCTGGCTGTACACCACACCCTTGATCAGGCTCGCGCCTGCGCCGCCGCCGCCGTTGCTGCCGTTGCCGCCGCCGCCGCCCGCATGCTGCGGCTCCACCAGCTGCTGTATGGCGCGGCCCTCCCCCAACTCGGCCTCTATGATGGGCCGGAACGACTGCAGCACCGCCCCCCAGCCGGGGTGGCCGCCCGCCGCGCCGTCCAGCTGCTGCGGCTGCTGCTGCTGCTGCAGGCCGCCGAGGCCCGAGGGCCCCGACAGGGCCAGGTCTGGCAGGTGGAGGGGCAGGTCCGGCCCCAGCCCGCCCGCCGCCGCCGCAAAGGCGGACGTGCCGGCCGCGCCCGCGCCGCCGCCAGCGGC